TGGCAACTTTCGCGACAAATATTACACGTCCTTTACTAAACCTGTATTAAAATGTTAATGACAGCAATAAATTCCGATTATTACAATATCGTATACACGCATTTATACTTTACAACATGTTATTTATTGGTAGCCTTGGTGCATTCAAATTTGATCATTGTTAATCCTAAAAATTAAGTGACGCCTAATAACGAAAAATTAAGTGACGCTTAAACGCAATAGATAATCACAAAATAAAAACATGAAGATCTGATTTTATTGTAGTCGTAATTCTAAACGATAAATAACTTTGATAATGATGTATTTATTATGCATGAACGAGGCCTTGTCGTTGTCACTTACTTTTCTATATCTGGGCTAAAAGGAAGGAAAAACATTGTGGAAAAATTATATTGGCTTAAATAATAATTAGACACTGTGTAGGTACTAGACTGCGAAAATAGTCAATAAGTTTTACAGATGATAAATAAACGTGTAATAACTTTTAGACAACAAACGTTTTATAAAATTTTAATTCATCAAACTTCACTCCGTCTACAAGAGCGTTGTCCATATCGTAGTTTTTCGTACGCCAGCTACCTTTTTTTACAGTATACAGCTAGACCAATTTCAACTTTCCCCCCATATATCCATGCCTCTATCCTCCGTGCTCCAGGCACAGTCCATTTTAAGGGGTTTCGTACCTCAAAAGGTGAAAATGGAACCCTTTTAAGATCACTCTCTTGTCCGTCTGTCCGTGTGTCACCACCGATTTTCTCAGGAACGAGTGGACCTAGCAAGTTGAAATTTGTACCAGATACTGAGGTCTATTAGGTGTAAAAAATTAAGCTCCTGAGACAACACGATAAAAGAAATGGCTAAATATAGATTTTCGCGAAAACTTGTAAGTACCAAAATTTAAATTAATTTTCTACTTTTTTAATTTTCGGGGGTTTAAAAAAAAAACCAAAAATAGAAAAAATTTTAAAAAAAAAAAAAAAAAAAAGGTAAAAAAAAAAAAAAAAAAAAAAAAAAAAAAAGTAAAAAAAATAAAAAAAAAAAAAAAAAAAAAAAAAAAAAAAAAAACAAATCAAAAAAAAAGAAAAAAAAAAAAAAAGTAAAAAAAAAAAAAAAAATTTTTTATAAATTTAAAAAAAGGAAAAAAAAAAAAATTTAAATAAAAAAAAAAATTTTTAAAAAAAAAAAAAAAAAAAAAATTTTAAAAAAATAAAAAAAAAATTTTTTAAAAAAAAAAAAAAAATTTTTAAAAATAAATTAAAAAAAAAAAAAAATTTTTTTTTAAAAAAAAATTTTTTTAAAAAAAAAAAAAAAAAAAAAAAAATATTTAGGAGGAAGAAAAGGGGTTTCTCCTAAAAAGGTTCCCTTTTAAATCCTCTTTTTCCCCCCTTTTCGGGAACTTTTTTCTCGGGAAAAAGGGGGCCCAGAAGTTAAAATTTTTAAAAAGGGGCCCCCTTTTTAAAAAAAAAAAACCCCAAACTAAAAAAAAATTTAAATTTAAAATTTTTTCCCTTTAGTCCCTTTAAAAAACATTTTTTAATTTCGGAATTTTCCCTTTTGTAATTTGCTTTTAAAAACCCAAAATTGAAACTCAGGGCACCGGTAGTACCCATAGGTTTTTTGGGTCTAAAACCTAATTTTTTCCCGTTTTACTAAAAATCACAAATTTTCAAAAGCAGACCTTGCTTTTTTAAAATTTACAGCACAAATAAAAAAGCACATTATAAAATTTTACTACAGTTTCTAAAAATGAAAAAAAAATGCATGGTAATGTAAGGGCAATAGAACTTAGGCTAATCGGAAAAAAAAAAAAAACATCTTTCAGGAATATTCAAATTTTCCCTTTTTTTTGATGTTTTAGCCCTATTTTCGATTAAACAAAAAACACTCCTAAAAATTTCCGGGCCTTTTTTTTAAGTCCTATATTTTTTACAAAGGGTTCAGTGCTGCGAGGGAAAACTTTTTTTAGACGAAACAACAACTCCACATAGGTAGCAGAGCCATTAAAATAAAAATGACTATCTTTTTTTTTCCCGAAAGGTTTTTTCGAAAAGAAAATAAAATTATAATAAAAATTGACTGACAATATTCGAAATTTTTTTGCTATTAGTGACAGTCAGTTTTTAAAACCCCTTCAAGATAAATTTCTGGGAATTTTTTTTAAAATTTAAAAACTATTTGCTGTACCCACGGTGAGACAGGGTACATATGAAAATATTTTACAGCCCACTGATTCAAAAAATTTTTCCCCTAAAGTAGAGAAAAAGACAATATTTTTGGGGTTTAAGCCCTGTAACACGATGCTGTTGCTTCCCTCGGTATTTTTCCCGTAAAAAGGTAAATAAAAAAAAAAAAAGAAAATTGTTCCTTTATAAAACACTATTTTTTTAACTTCACGCGAGTTTATCATTTCTTAGGTGGTTTTGCCCTTAGAATTCTTATTTCTGAAAGGGAGATTAAAATTTTGACTTGGGCGGGGACTTTCAATGGGAGGGGGGGGGGGCACGATGTAGGCAAGACTGCGTTTTGATGGCCTCAGGGATTTGGTGGGGGGGCTGGGGGATGGCTGCCCTGTTTAAATTAAAAAAAATTTAGAAATATATCTCTCAGCTTTCGATTTTTAAAAATTATGTTAAATTGTCCACACTACATTTCTGTAAATAATGCCCCCAAAAAACCTAAAGGGCCCAAAATTTTTTACAGACAAATTTTGAATTCCCAACCCTTGAAATTTGGTTGCTTACCTTTTTTTTAAAACCTTCCTCATCAGCGGTGGGAAGGGAACCCTTTTATGGGGGTTTTCCCTCAGGGGATACTATTTGTAACCCCCCTTGGGGCAACTTTACCGCGTGGGCCCGTTAAAGGGTTTAAATTATGTTTTGTAATCTAATCTAGTAAATTTAGGTAATTTCATCAAAAAATATTTTTAAAATGGGCTTTTGAAAAAAACTTAAAAAAATCATTTTAAAAAATAATTTTAATCTATCCATGTTGTAAATATCTAAAAATTTTGGGGCCCTGATAGGTAAAATTTTAGAAAAAGTCTTGTTAGAGCAATCTTTCGGTTAAACATTCCTAACCCCCTGCAAAAGTTTATTCTATCAATTTTGATACGTCATTAAAAAATTTTTAAACCCAGATATAGTCCCCTTTTTTCACAAAAAAAACAGATAAAGTATTTTTTTTTCATATTACGCATCAATGAAAAAGCTTTAAAAAAAATTTAAATTTAAACTAAAGTGAGCGGTTACAAAATTAAGTGACGCCTAATAACGAAAAATTAAGTGACGCTTAAACGCAATAGATAATCACAAAATAAAAACATGAAGATCTGATTTTATTGTAGTCGTAATTCTAAACGATAAATAACTTTGATAATGATGTATTTATTATGCATGAACGAGGCCTTGTCGTTGTCACTTACTTTTCTATATCCGGGCTATAACCATCTCCGTGTATCTCTGTGTGTGTACAGTAGCATAATTTTTTTTTTTAAAAGTAGGTAAGGCAGAGAAATAAATATCGAAGGAAAAACATTGTGGAAAAATTATATTGGCTTAAATAATAATTAGACACTGTGTACTAGACTGCGAAAATAGTCAATAAGTTTTACAGATGATAAATAAACGTGTAATAACTTTTAGACAACAAACGTTTTATAAAATTTTAATTCATCAAACTTCACTCCGTCTACAAGAGCTATGTCCATATCGTAGTTTTTCGTACGCCAGCTACCTCTATTTACAGTATACAGCTAGACCATTTTCAACTTTCCCCCCATATATGATGGTTCTCCATGCCTCTATCCTCCGTGCTCCGGGCACAGTCCATTTTAAGGGGTTCCGTACCTCAAAAGGTGAAAATGGAACCCTTTTAAGATCACTCTCTTGTCCGTCTGTCCGTGTGTCACCACCGATTTTCTCAGGAACGGGAGGACCTAGCAAGTTGAAATTTGTACCAGATACTGAGGTCTATTAGGTGTATAAAAATTAAGGTCCTGACACAACACGATAAAAAGAAATGGCTAAATTTAGATTTTCGCGAAAACTTGTAAGTACCAAAATTTAAATTAATTTTCTACTTTTTTAATTTTCGGAATTTTCCCTTTACTTGTGCTGTGAGATCTTGCTTTTAACCAAAATTGACAACTCTAGGTCAACCGGTAGTACCCTATAGGTTTTGGATCTAAAACCTATATGGTAGTTCCCGTTGACCTAGAATCACGAAATTTTCAAAAAGCAGACCTTGCATTGAAATTTACAGCACAAATAAAAATAGCACATTATAAAATTTTACTACAGTTTCTAAAAATGATAAAATATGCATGGTAATGTAAGGATCAATAGAACATTAGGCATAATCGGAAGGAAAAACATCTTTCAGGAATATTCAAATTCCATTTTATTGATGTTATGGCCCCTATTTTCGATTAAACACAACACTCCTAAAATTTGACCGGCCTTTTTTGTAACGTCCTATATTTTATTACAAGGGTTCAGTGCTGCGAGGCAAAGGCTTTTTTTACGACGAAACAACAACTCCACAGTAGTGTAGCAGTAGCCATTAAATAAAAAATGACTTCTTTTTATTACCCGAAAGGTTTGTCGAGAAGACAATAATAATTATAATATAAAATTGACTGACAATTATTCGAAATATTTTGCTATTAGTGACAGTCAGCTTTAAAATCTTCAAGATGAATTCTAGGATTTTTTTTAAATTAAAACTATTTGCTGTACCCACGGTGAGACAGGTACATATAGAACATACTTAGGCAGACACTGATTCAAGAATATTTACCCTAAAGTAGAGTAGAAGACAATACTTTTAGGTTAAGACCTGTACACATGATGCTGCTTGCTTGCTCGGTATGTTTGCTGTATAAAGTAAATAAAAATAAAAAAAGACAATTGTTCCATTATCAACACTATTTTATTGACTTCACGCGAGTTTATCATTTCTTAGGTGGTGTGTCCTTAGAATTCTTATTTACTGAAGGTAGATTAAAATTTAGACTTGACGGCACTTTCAACTGGAGGAGGGTGGGCAGCGATGTAGGCAAGACTGCGTTCGATGGCCTCAGGTATCGGTGGGGGAACGGGGAGATGGCTGCCCTGTTAATTGAAAACAATTTAGAAATATATCATCTCAGCTAAAGCTTTCGATTTTGAATAATTATGTTAAATTGTCCATACTACATTGACTCGTAGTAATGCAAAAAAAGTGTAATGGTAATAACAAAATATGTTTTTGGTTGTTGTGTTTATAAAAGAACAGTAACGGTACCGTATGATAGTTTAATTATTTTCTAAGACTGCAGAACTTAGATAACGACAATATTAACCATTGATGCTCTTAAAACACAAAGCATTTTTAGACATGTATAAATTTAAGGTCAAGATTTTATGACAGACAAGATTTCGAATTCCAACATTGAAATTATTGGTTGCTTACCTGGGGTTTAAAGCCTTCCTCATCAGCGATGTAAGAAACTTCGATGGGCGTTCCATCAGGAGATACGTATTTGTACCCGCCTTGGACAACTTGAGCCGCGTGGTCCTTTTAACGTTGAAAATATGTTAGTAATACTAATATTCAGGTAATTTCATCAAAACCTATTTAACTGGACTTATGAAAATAACTATAAAAGATGCCATATAAGAAATGATTTTAATCTATCCATGTTATAAATATCTAAATTTGGGCCGTGATAGGTAAAATTTAGAAATGTCTTGTATATAAAGTGGCAGATCTTTCGGTCCATCATTCCTAATTCCCCTGTAAAAGTTTATTCTATCAATTTTGATACTGTCATTAAAATTTATAGCCTAGATATAGTCCTTTTATCACACAAAAACATGATATTTTATTACATATTACGCATCAATGAATAGCTAATAAAAATTAATTAGGAAATTAACGACTAACTAATTTGCTTGTCTTTTATATTAAAGACGTTCTTTTTTTTGGAATAAGCAAGTGGCTACCGCCACTTGCTTATTAATTAAAAGTAATAAATAATAAATTTAAAGCTAATAAGTAGAATTCCTAAGCAAAAGCTAAGATTTAAAAAAATGATAAATATTATACAAATGAAATACTGCGTCTAATATTATTTCAACAGAGTTACCGAAGGTGACCGATTAGTTTAGCACCTTGCAAATTTAAGCAATACTAGCCAGGTCTTTCCATGGATGGGTGATCATTTCCTATAACATTGAGAATCTTCCGTGTCTCGAAAAGCATGACCAACCCTGAAAACTCCGACAACAGTCTATCCACAGAACGCCTAATACTTGGCTTGTTGAGGTCTAATGACAGACATTCCCCAAAAAGAAATAGAAGTTCAGCCTTGTCGTGGTAGACTAAAAGCCAACAACAACCTAGTTTTTGAAAATTGAGGATGAATGTTATCATTACAACCTCATTATACTTTACTATTATTATTATTTAAAAAGGACAACTCCCGCTTTAAGGATATATTCTGTGTCGTGGGGGACTTTACAAACATACATAAATCGGACACAAAGAACACCTGGACTCAGATCAACAATTTCTGGATCACACAAAGTGTCCTCCCATGTGGGGTTTGAACCCACAACACTCGGCGTAGTAGGAAGCGGCGTGGCGACCGCTTAAACCACTACGCCATCCGTGCAGTCAAGTAATTTATATGTTAATCTATCAATATAATGAGTTATATCTAAGATGTCGAATTTTCAATTATTTGATTGTGGATAACTAGCTGGAATGACACACAGCGTGCTACGTTCATTTACTTACTCCTAATACTCGTAGAAGCACTAAACTCACCTAAGTGGGTTAAAAAGAGTATTAGTTATTTGTGAGGGAAGCTGTCAGTAGTTATCATTATCATCATGGAGTCAGTGCTATGTGTAACAAGGGTTTGACAAATTATTTAAAGCCAGCCACTTAACCGAAGCGGACCCTCCTACGGAATATAATTGTTTTCAAACGAGACAAAGGAAGAATGTGAATTAAGGCAGGGCAACAGATAAGGCGAAGGAACTAATATAAGGTATCCCTTACACAAACCCGTTTCCCATCCGATACTTACCGGTATCCGGGTAAGTATCGGATGGGTAAGCTTGAAGAGGCCGAATTCGCTGACCCGTATGCTCATCCTGTCATCATTAAGGTCATTAAGACGTGAACATTAATTGACATTCTGATTAACCGAGTCAATCTGTTAGAGTTCATTTTAAAAGAAAATAATAATGTTTTAAAATAATTGAATTCACTCACAGACTGAGGGTCCTTCAATGCGCCTTGAGCTTGTGCAGAAATACCATTACCGGTTTCGTACGCATATTGGAATGCACCGTCGGGGCCGATATCGTAGCTGGACTTGACGATGGGAGCATAGTCATCCTTCAAATGTGCGACATCTGCAGCTGCGCAAGCCAGAGCCACAGCTAAAACAGCGAAGAATTTCTGAAATGAAACAGTTTTTCTAATTGTAAATGAATTTTACGTTTGTTTCGATAGTTATAAAAACTGTAACTTCATACAACTTGGTATTTAATTATTATTCATCCTTAATTACAACATTTTTTTTGTGAAATCACATTGATTCTACTGAATACGTATAATGTTTCGAGAAGTGATTACTTACTCAATAAATATTATTATGACAAAACAGTGACAGTCAAAAAACGTCTATCAGTTTATGTATTAAAATGTGTCTCACCATTTTGCTAGTAGATGTCAACTTTTGCTCCAATCTGACTGAACTATTTTATCAACGTCTTTATATAGCAACTGACCTGAATTTAAATGTGGTAGTTTTGTTTCTTTTTAGTACATCGTATTGTCAAAGATTATAAGCTATGATTCAGATTATGTAAAGATGTAACTCTAAATGCATGCATTATGTATAATATAGTATCAGTCACCGAGAACTGTTTAAAGTAAGACCTTTCCGAAACTTGTAATTATTTCCGTTGCTAGTTTCTTTATTTCTATTCCGATATTTTATTAAATTTCTATACGATACTGATTCTAGGCATCTTTATCAAAGTTTTAGTGCAAGAATCTCAACTTAGCTATAAGTTTGGATATTCCAACAGAGACCAACTTTTACAAGCATGATACTGATAATTAATTTAGTTTGAACTATCAAAACATAAACAAATTCATACTTATAACCCAATTAGCTTTTAAAAAAAAAAGTGATACATCGATGACATTACAAAAACCTTAAAAGTAAAGATAAAACTCTGGAATTCGAGGTTTTTAAGAATTTACTTTCTTTGAACCTATTGATGTTTGTTTTGATACATATTATTATAGTTAATGAAACATAGCCCAAACCAGGTCCTGATTTCTCTCATTAATGGCATTAAACAGATTAAGACGAACATTATCAAAATTTGAGGAAGAAGATAGTCAGGTATAGAATAATATAATTGTGGAAGTATAATATTATACACTAGATAATATATACTACAATGATCGTTTATATTTCTAGATATTGGTTCATTATTAACCACACAAGCATAAAACACAAACATAAAACGAATAGTGATTGCAACATGCTAAAAGAGTTCTGCTGCATTGAAGGCGTTGATAAAAAAATGTGACTAAATTATAATTATTTTTTTCATACCCAGCCTTATGTCATCTATAGCATTATCGAGCAGTAACGGTACCATATACGGTATGGAACTCAGATCAATAAGGAGCAAGAACCTTATTTTTCCAAAAGTACGTAGTAAAAATATGTGTTCAAAACTCTCGAGCTGTTTGAAATTAAAAATTTATTTTGTACTCTTATTAGATTAATAAATAAATAAATGATTAATATCCTGTTGGGGAAATATCCCCAATAGGATATTATATATATTAATATTGAAATATTTTCAAAATATTAATAAAATTGACTGACAAAGAAAAAATAATGTAAATGTCAGATCGCCAGACTTATTTAAGCAAAAAACAGCTAAGCGAACATACATTTGGGATATATGACTATGGACTATGGAACACACAAAAAAACTGCACGGCCGTTTTCTATTAATGCCGTAATTTAGGGTAATCAAGGGCGGAAACTCAATACACAATCTTTGTCAAATCATAGAAAAATTAAGCGAGTAGTGGAATGAAATTTATTAGGTTTGGCAGAGTTCAGTATCCAATTAACACTTTAAAACACAATACTAGACAAATACATACACGATAACTCTAATCTCATCCGCTAATAAAATTGCCTTCTACATAATCAACTGTAGGTTAAGATCATACCTCGGTTTCAAGATTAGGAGAAAACCAGGTACAGCAGGGATGCTTTTTTCACTCTCGTGCTTTTCAATACACATATATTAGGAATATTTGATGCGGCCTTGGGGTATGAAAAGAACCTCCCACCTTATCAATTACACATATTAGCTGGCGTGCATTTAAGATCCCTTGCAAACTGCTACTGCGTCAAATGTGTGCCGTTCTCATAGGGAATGAACCCATTGTGAGTTAATGACACTTCTGTTACGAAGACAATAATTCTATAAATACTTTCCAACCGTGAGGTTAAACGGTTAACATTTATTTAATCAACCACAAGTAAAACTTATTTTACAAGACCGATATTTAAAATATTGACCTTTTACTTAGAATATCAATAGATGTTAGGTATAATTCTTGAATATTTTTAGAGACAACTACATCTCTACTTAATCCTTACTAGCATAATCATTGCTCCCATCTAATGTGATATTATTAGAATAGGTGATATTTAATCTAATTTATGCTGTGCGAGTGCGGGCTCTCGATTACAATTCAAGGTTAAGCTTCTTAGACTAAAAACATGATAATTTTGTCTGTGGTCAAATGCAATCATAATCAGGTGATATTGCAACGCCTATAAAATATGATATTGGACTACATTTTGAATGTGATTTATGATAATATTTCCATGATATTCGCTTGAAACAGTATATTTGTGCAAGAAGTTTCTCCACTAAAAAGGTTACTATTCACGACCTCCGGCATTCGGTGCCTATCGTTAGTATAATGTAACTTAAAGCCAGGTGTAAATTATTGCATGAATGTTAATTTTGAAGTATACTCATAAAATTATTCTAAAGTACTCAGAAGAATAGAAATTCTAACATTTTCTGAAAGGAGATTGCCTACTTTTGGGCTCACACGTTACAGAAAAAAAAACGGCGTGAGGGGTCTATGGACCCCGGTCGGAATGAAGTTTCTTTCGCTTTTTCTATAAAACTGTATTTAGTTTGTTTAGATGTAACATAAATTTAGTTTGCCGATCGATCGATAGATGGCGTGTCACAGTAATTCTGATTCGGGATATGGATTATTGTTAATTAAAAAAAACCCTTCTAGGTACATGTTCTATGTTTGTGTAAATATATACAGTATAATGCGATACGGTGGTTTTATTCGATATACCCCAGTGACTCGATAGTGGTGTCATTAGTGCGCCGTGCGTATATAGTTCATACACGGGTGTAATATAGTTACAGCAAAGAAATGTCGGAAAAGTCTTGTGACACATTTTTCGGTCCGGCTCCCATCCGCTCAGAGCTTGTAACGCCCGATAAGGAACTTCGTTTCAACAAATAAACAATAAATAAATAAATAATATTGTAACACATTCATACAACGCCATCTAGTCCCAAACTAAGCAGAGCTTGTACTATGTGTACTAGACAACTGATATAAATACATAGAAACATTTTTTTGTTAATACATACTTATTATACATAGAAACACCCAAACCAAATCAAACATTAAATGTTCATGCACACAAATGTTTGACATGAGCGGGCAGCATCGAACCCGCGACCTTTGAAATACTCAAACCACTACGCCATTCGGTCGTCAATAGTAGTAAAGTATTGTTATTTTATTTGAAAACAAAAACACAAGGAATAATTAATTTACAGTTGCTAAATGAAAATATTTATAATACTTTTAAGTTTATGCATTTTGCCGTGAAATGAATGAAAAGACAAAGTGTAAGTATTTAAACAATTTAGTGACATATCAATGTCAATATAGGAAATGCCGCCAAAATACGAATGTGGGGTGCGACGACTTTGGTCAAGTATGATATTTGTCAAATCGGCAAGTCGTCAAATTTGCTGTTGGTCAAATCGGTAGTATGTCAAATCGAATTTTTGTCCAATTATCACATTTGCCAAATAAGCCATTATATAGTCAAGTAATTTAGGTACAATTTAATATAAAAATAAAAGTACTCCATGTTTTTACTCAGTTATTTAAATTCACATTTCAAATTATTTTAATAATATAGTCATATAGTGGAACATTAGATGAGAAAGTGTTTAAAACAGTTGTGTTGGGTTGAGTATGAATTTCATAGAATTTAAACCCAACACAACTGTTTTAAATGTTGTAGCGCAATTATTCACTCAATAATTCTATTGTGAATTTTATTGTCTGGTTTTCTATTTTTGCTTTGCATTTCTAGGCTTCCAGATTTATTTTTTTCAACAACTTAGACTGCGTAACTATTTTACTTTACTGATATAAATTTACAACACCGTAAAATAAGCAAAACAAATTAAAGAACAATAGACACTTTTTATAAAAAAAACGCTTAAAATAAATAAACCAAACATAGATACAGTATATTAAGACATGACGTCTAACGTCATGTCAAAATACATGAAAGTGTTTGATCACTAGAGCTAGATCGAAAGCACTAATAACATCCCCGGACTCGTCGCTCCACTCCGTCTTGCCGTCCACGGAAACCATAACAGAGGTTTCGGCAATGGCTGAGGCGTCGAGCTTGACTTCAAGCGACGAGTTTTTCTCTCCGCTGACGTCGCCAACACCTGTACGTCGGCAGGGGAGAGGTCGGCCACCGGTTTGCCTGGGATCCCGATTCCCATCGGCTTCGAATAAGGTCCCCGCTGTTGGTGGTAATTTATGTGCGTCGCATGAAATAGACTTCTTCAATGAACGAGAACGTCATGCGAGCATATTTTGTGGCTACAGAGGGAGAAACTAATCTCACTGCGTATCGTACTCGTTTGCTAACTCTATTTCAGGAACTTGAACCAACTGTTAACTTTTCGGTACAAAGATTATTGGTTCAAGTGCGAGCTATTAAGCGATGTCATTTGTTGGATAGCTCTGTGCTTAAAAGGCTACGCTCCGACTTACTACTTTTCCTACTTCACATAATAATATACATCAAGATCTAGTATTTCAAGACTTCTCCTGCTGAAGGAGAGGAAATTGATACTCTTTCTGTAAGTACCCAGTACAATGACATAATAAGGAATACTTTGGAAGGTGCTATCCTAGAATATGGGTCCATGAATTTTGTAAGCAGACCACGTTTACCTCGTTTACCGATGCATAAGCGAAATAAAGCGCTAGTATGTGCCCTTGATTCTATATTACCAACATATTTTGAAAAATGTGAAAACCTTGGTGATACACATTCAATTCTGTATTGTGCGGCCATTACTGCATGTCGAGTAGCTGGTGTCAAATTCCCAAGAGTGGACATGGCTCCTCGACCAAAGTCTCTGGTGCCGTCGTAGCAATGTAGTATTGAACGTCGTATTGCTGAGGCAAGGGTACTCATTGGCAAGCTTATCGTAATGCGCTTTGTGAATCAGGCTTTTTTGGGAACTGATATCAGGTCTTGTGATTATATCGCACGAGTCACAGAGCGCATTGACTTTCTGAAACAGA